GTCTGATCAAGAATTGGATCAGAGATTGATTCAGAGGGGATTGGGTCAGAGATTGATTCAGAGGGAATTGGATTAGAGATTGATTCAGAGGGGGGGTAAAGAATGTTGATGGCAGTCATAAGAGCTCTCCAGGCATAGAGAATTTTCAGGGGGGCTCGTGGAGGCTCGTGAATGTATTTTCCTATTTTTTCCCAAATAGATTGTTTAAGAGTGCCACTGTCAGACTGTGCTCCTTCTAGATCCCAAGAAAGAAATACTCAGACTCCATGGTGTAGAGCAGAATTTATCTTTTACTGGAAAATGAATGGTAGCAAACAGAATCAATTCCGAAACTAAAATATTGGCGGGTAAAATGCATATACAAAGGGATAGAATTGCTCCCCCCCCTCCAGAGATCAAATGATTCTTCCAATTAAAACTTCTGAATAGGATCATGTGGTCATCTCTAGGTGATGATGAGGCTACTGTCAGTGACCTTGACATATTTTGATAAAAGTTCGCAGTTGCGCATATAAGAGGACAGAGGTTAGTGAGAAATGGAAAATTACAACAAAGAATCCCCCCTCCCTTTCCTTATCCAGCAAAGGAATGCAAAACACCTCCTGCCTTCTTCCCTTCGAAGATTCCCCCCTCCCACCGTTTCATGACAGCCGAAAGAGAAGTAAAAAGCATAGCAACAAATGAGCCATAATTAGGAGCGGAGATATCTTGATAGGTAGGGATGGATATCTCTTGAGGCTGACAGCCACCTTCTGGATAAGCGGGGCAATGTTTTTGGAGATAAAGGAGAAAGGAGGTAATATTTTTGCGAGAGAGAGGATAGATAGTAATTCCGTTAGCTTTCTGCAAGTGATTCGCCTTCCTGACTAAGGAGTGAACCTCGTCCAAATGCTTGGACAAAGTCTTGGAAAGTGGGGCGCCCATAGTTACGATGCGCTGGCCGATCTCCGGTGCGTAAGATGGGAGTCAGGGCAGCACACTTCTTCCTGGAAGTCATGCTGTGAAGAATCACGTCGTGAAGGATCACGTCGGGGTCACCAGTTGTGGCTTTTTGCTGCCCACACCCTGGCGACGGCAGGGTCTGAGTTCAGAGCCCTGGGCCTCTCATTGTAAATAAATAAACACACAGACACAATGTTTACTCGGGATGAAGGCCCTGAACAAAGGGCAGGTACCTCCTTTTATTAGGTTGCTTGCAAGCGTCATAGCAGGAACAAGGAAATTTTCCTTATAAGGTAATCTACATAATTATGCTAATGCAAAAACTATACCATTGCTGGGGTCTTATCACCTCCACTCTTAGCCCTGCCCAGTTACTTTCTTTTCCCACATAACTTTCGTTTCTCCAGCCAGTATTTTTCCACACAGTCAGCACTTTATCACATAGCAACATTAGAGCGTCCATCCAGCATTTTTACAAGGTTGACCATTGCAACATTTAGCGTCCATTTATTGTAACAGTTGTACATTGCAACATGTTCCCAGATATTCTCTCTCACATCTGTTATTTCTTTTGGAAATAATCTATCCATAGAAGACACCATTGATGATATTGTAACTTGTAGTTGTATTTGAAGGTTTACCTTGTACTGCAAAAGAGTTTTAAACTATATGCTTACTGGGGGAAAGTTGTCTAGAATCCTTATGAAATGCAGCTTATCATTTTAAGCGGGGGAGTTCTGTCCCTTTGATTAAGTGGACAGAAAAGAGGAGGACTTTGTTAAGGCCAATAAGCCTTCTTCCTATCCATATTAACTGGTAATTCTTGGTGGGATGTTAAGGACTATTAAGAAAAGTACCATCCTTTGCAGAGAGTGAAAAGCAAGGGTACTTGATCCCAAAACTGGAAGAAATGTAGTACAGGTATTTGCTACAACCTCCTTCCCTACAGCATTTTGATAGACACACACACTTCTTATAATAGGTAAGCTTTAAACTCAATAGGACAATACAAATAAAGGCAATTACAGGAACAATGGAAGAGGCATATTCTGATCACCGTTTGTAGTCAAGATAAATTATTACCAACAATAAAGGGCTACAATGATTCACAGTATTCAGATACAGCATTTAACAGTCTGGAGTATAAAAAGGAAGGATTGGAAAGGATTACTTGTATGTTTGTGATCAGAAAAAAATGGTCTCTGTGGAGCTCCATCTGAGTGAATTAACCTCAGTGATAGAGGAAATATCCACCAAAGTTGAGGATGCACTGGTATGCGGAAGTGGAAAAGGAAGGAGAGAGATCCAAGGAACAAGAAGGAAGAAAAGAAAGTGATAGGCTTGTACTTTTCTAAACCCAAGATGGTCACAAGTAAAACAAGGCTTGCTCCCCCCCATTCCTACAGTAGTATATAGTGCAACAGAGAATACAGAAATACAGAATTTTCATAACAAAACACAGGAACAATATACGCATCAACCGAAGGAATCTAAATGGTATTTGGACCTAAGAGGGTTTAGGACAATTCATAGTAGCCAAATAGCTGCCATGGTTAACTTGCCATGGCAACAACTGAGCACAGGAGCTGGCAAGTGAACAAGTGGCCAGGGTGTGCGAGGTACAGTGAGAAGATGGACTGCACAGGCATTTGGAGGGAGAGCCAGGTGGGTGAGCAAGTGAGTGGGTGGGCATAGTGCACGGCTAGATAATGGACTTTGCAGGCAGCCGAGGACGAGCCAAGCAAGCGGGTGAGCAGAGCATGCGAGGTGTGGCAAGAGAATGGACCATGCCACTAGCAGAAGTAGCAACAGCAGCCATCACCACCGCCCATCGGCCAGAACAAGTTGGCACAGGGTGCAGGTCAGCACCCCTTTCCCCGGCACATCTGATCTGACCATGGCAATGCCTGTGACACTCATCTCCCTCATTGCCTGCTTCTGCCATCCCTGGCCTCTTCCACACAGAGCCCAGAGAGGGCAGCATCGGGTGCTAGCATTGCCATAGTGATATCAGATGTGCTGAGCAGAGGGAGGGATACTCTGGGCAGTTTCATTGCGGCCTGCACCAGTTTGTGTTGAGCACTGGCTGACCAGCTTGGTGGGTGGGGGGTGGCAGACAGCTGCTGTTGTTACTGCTGCTGGTGGTGTACTCCATCCTCTTACCTCACCCCCCACACACTGCCCACCTGCTTGACCAGCTCCTGCAGGGAGTTGTCCCCAAGGCGAGTTAAACGTGTTGTCCTGAGGTGAGTGGTAGCAGCAAGCTTGTGACGACTAGTTGATTGTGGCAAGTTGGCCACGGCAAGTTGTCCCATTTCAGACCTAAGATCCTCCATATGTCATGCAGAAGACAAGACAGCTGATAACTAGGAAACATCTCTTGCTGCCAATGTCAGATTTTTTTAGGTTCTATTCATATAACAGAATTAAACAGAATTTCAAGTCTCAGTCAGTAACTTAGACCCAGACACCCCAAGTTAAAACTAATACCCTCATAGTTAATCAGCTGGGTCAATTCAATTTTATGGTTTGCATAACATGCTTATTCCCAATAACCGAGTTAAAAATACCATGTGAATTAGAGCCTTTCCAGCTCTATAATTTAATTACTTCGTACTTCTGGCTTCTGATTTCTTTTAAAATAGTTTTCTGTTAATATACTAACATTTTATTTCTGAATGTGATCCTGAGAATGTAGAATCCATATTGCTATTTGTTGGAACTTTTTCAATGAATAGGTATTTTATTTACAGAAAATACTGAGTAATAAGCAGTTTGCTTATAAACAGGCTGATTGCTCCTATAACATGATTTGAGGTAGGGAATTGAATCCAGTCCAAGCTCAAATTTAGGCTTAACATGCATACTGGTCTTCTCTTCGAGAATCCCTGTTGTTATATGGACCTTGCCTCCTTGAAGTAAGTATTGGAAGTTTCTGCTTCCACCAACTATTTTCTCGAGGGCACTTCACTTGGCAACCCCCACCCCAAATCTGCATGAGAGTATTCTTACTACCTGTATTGCTTTACTGACAGTAAAAAAAGCAAATGTGAAAAAAATGAAACAATTTCTGTGATGCAACTTTTTGACTCTAAATTTTATAGGCACATGACTAAGGTTTTATTTATTTATTTGATTTGATTTGATTTGTCAATTGCTTACAAAGTAATAGATATAAGTATAAACATGAGTAAGAATACAGGAAATAGGTACAAATAAATGGGGACAATAGGACAGGGACGGTAGGCACGATGGTGCACTTATGCATGCTCCTTACAGACCTCTTAGGAATGGGGTAAAGTCAATAGTGGTTAGTTTGAAGTTAAAGGAGTGGGGGTTAGAGGATGTAACAACAGAGCAACAGAGTCAGGTAGTGCATTCCAGGCATTGACCACTATGTTGCCGAAGTCGTACTTTCTGCAATCAAGTTTGAAGCGGTTTACATTGAGTTTGTATCTGTTGTGTGCTCTTGTATTGTTGTGGTTGAAGCTGAAGTAGTCATTAACTGGTAGGACATTGTAGCAGATAATTTTGTGTGCTACGCTAGGTGGCGTAGTTCAAGGTTGTCCAAGCCCAAAATCTCAAGCCTGGTGATAGGGTATTCTGTTGCGAGCAGAGGAGCGTTGTACTCTTCTCGTGAAATACTTCTGGACTCGCTCAATTGTATTAATGTCTGATATGCAGTGCGGATTCCAGACTGATGAGCTGTATTCGAGTATCGGTCAGGCAAATGTTTTGTATGCTCTAGTTAGAAATTCGATATTTCCGGAGGAGAAGCTTCGTAAGATTAGATTTACAACCCTTAATGCCTTTTTGGCAATGCTGTTACAGTGAGCTCTGGCACTTAGGTCATTTGATATGAGAACTTTTCTTTTTTCTAACGGGGGTACTCCCGTCTGCCAAAATACACGTTCCAGAATCTGGACTCGATTACCTGCGACCCGGAAGAGACTTTAGGGCCAAAATTCCCTTCCCCCTTGGGCTCGGCAGGGGGATGCGAGCGAGCGGTCGCCCCGTGACGTCACTAGGGCGCGCTCCTAACGAACGACCAGGTTTCGCGAGAGGCGGCTCCCCTGATTATGAAGCAGGGATGAATGGTTCGGAGCGCGGCCCAGCCCCAGGTGAGGAGGATGGTGGGGAGCCCGAGGAAGAAGGGGAAGAGGAGGAAGAAGAGGTCGCTGCTGGGGATGTGGATGCCGAGACTGCGCCGGGTGGGCGGAAGGTTCGTGGTGGGCGGAAAGCCCGGGGTAGGCCGCGCCTCACCGAGTCTGACCGGGTACGACGACGCCTCGAATCCCGCAAGAAATACGACGAGCGGCGAGTCTACCTGGGCGAGTCTCACGGCTCGTGGGTGGACCTGAGGCAGCGCAGTGGCTGGAGTGACGCCAAGCTGGCGGCTTATTTACTGGAACTGGAACGAGAACAGCGGGCCGGGCGCCGCGGGTGAGAGTCGGCAGCAGGGGCTGAGGGAGGAGATGGCTAGACGGTTAATGCGAAGGTGGGGAGGGGGGGTAAGGGGAGAAGAATTCAGCCGCATGCGCCCCGGAGGCCTCCCGAGGGCCAAGTGCAAAGCAGGCCAAAGGTATGAAGGGTTCTCCAAAAACACGAACGGAGAGAGAGAGAGACAGACAGACACGAGGCCTTTCTCTGCGCGTGGGGATGGGCGGTTTTGCCAGCAGTAAAACTGCCTGACGTTTTGGAGATCAGCGTAGGCGCGATTTCCAGTTAGTCCTCCGCTCCCTGGGTATTCGGGAAAATGTCACTCTGGATTTCAAGGCATTTGACAAAAGGAGGATGAGATGGTTAATTCTACAAATAGGCATCTTATGTCATCTTGTCATTTAGAAATGGGTAGTTGGAAACAGGCCTGGCAGACTAGACTAGAACCATTCTATTTTTTCCCCCATTATCATCAGGGAGGTACTTATATGGCTGTTTTCAAATGTAGTAATATAATTTGACTGTCCTGTTTGAATATTGCATCCTCCATAACTATTCATCCTCACTATATTTGTGCAGCCAGTAATTATTTATCAAATCTTTTAAAACATTTCCTAAAAATGTTTAGTCATATGCTTAGTTTAGTTAGTAATGCATGCATGTATTCTCTGATAATATATATAGGTCTGAAAGCTATGAAATTTGGAGACTAATCCATGTTACTATGCAAGATGACTTGGAAATTATACCAGATCAAGTAATAGTGGATAACTGTTCTTGATAGACTCTTCGTTTGCTCATTGGCTGTATTTTCTCTAACTGACAAACTAAGAGCACCTTTGAATTCTGTTTTGAGTTGTTTGTTGCTCTGATAGAGGCTGTTAGAAAAGAGAGTGCTGATTATTAGGGTATGAACTAGGCATCTTCATAAGCACAATTTCCTTATTTCTTATCATTACTTTCCTCTCTGTGAATGACAGTCTTATTGAAATATTATATTAGAAGAAGTTTTTCAAAGGCTTTTAGTACCTCCTTTGGCTGAGACTTTCCTTTGGCAAACAAGTCCTAGCATTCTGGAGATCTACATGCATACCATGATATGGTACCATCTTTACTTGCAGAAAACCATGGGAGCAGATCCCTTATGAACCACAGCAAAAGAAAAGTAAGTGTAATCTATGCATTCATATGTCAGATTTTATTCTACTCTAAAATGCAGACAATCAACTGCTATCAGTTTTTAAATTTAAAAAAACATTAAAAAGCTGAATGCCACAAATTATAAAGAAATCAAGAAGAAAGTCTGGAATGAATTTACAGTGATACATAAATTGACAGTAGGTCTTTACAAAGTAAATCTTAGTAAATTTGATTGAACATATATAATTATTAGCATAAATCCCTGGTATAAGAATCTTCACTTATCGATGTAATGATTTCAGAAATATTTGTGCAAATTTATTGTAGCTGCCTAATTCCAAAGACTTCTAATTTTCACTTGTCTCCTATTAGTTTAAAATTCTCCCATCTATAGCCCAATCTGGTTTATTGGTTTTGTTGCATGTAATGTTCTCTATGTTTTGTTTGTTTAATATTTGCAGCTAAAAATCAGTTAATTTTTTTCTTGACTATAATCACCTTTACACCTATCAAAAAGAATCAAGACATCAAAGGGCATATTATAACTTATAACTTTGTTTATTGATTATACTACATTTGACCACAATAAATAACACTGAAACTGTTCAACATTCATTACAGTTTAATTTCATATAAGTGGTTCAATTATTTTTAACACTAAAAAAGCCAAAATGTATATACTGAAAAAAATCTTCATATTCTCATAATATATCGTTATTGACTTCCTGGAATTGCATTGCTTTGTTTTTTAAAGTATCAATAGAGATTAAAATCATTTATAGCTCTTATATTGACACAATTTAAACATTAAGTACTTATTTAAGTTAGCTATTTGGTTTTTTTAAAAAATTGTTCTCTTTGTATTGACATGAGCATTAAAGCACCAATTCCCAACCGTTGGCGCTTGGTGGCCTGGCATGAGAAGGGGAACTTGGCCGTGTGAGCAGGGAGGGCGTGCATGCACACACTCACAGCTCAGTCTGTGTGAACAGCAGGGCGGGGTGCTCACACATGTACACACAGCTCAACTTGTTCATGCTGTTCCACTGATCTTGTGAGTTAAGCTGCGTGCACATGTGCCAGCCCGCTGCCTTTAATCCCATTGAATTAAATTGTTATAATCACTAGAACCAGCATTTTTCTTTATTCATTTACAAATGTTTTGATTTCTGCTGTAAGACATTTCCAAATCTTGTGAGTTAACTAGATGTGGGAGAGATAGATACTGGTCCCTGTATAATTTTCAGGGCTGAACATAGCCAATTAGGTCAATTTATTGCCTAAGCTAAAGCAATTGTTTGTAAGACTTAACTGATGTCCAAAATTAGACAGAATGGATAAAGGACTGCATTTTCTAAAAGGAGAAGAAATACATAGTGTTGAACCTAAATATCAACACCATTCTTACAAAACCTGCAGCCTGCAAAGTACTTCTCTCTCATAAAGAATAATGTACAAACTATCTTAGAAAGTAGTCAAGTGCTGTAAATATTCAGCATGGTGTAGTGACTAGAAATGTGTAGTTGCTATTGTGATGCTAAGGCATTCTATGACTTTGTATTATTCCAAAGTGCTGAAGTTGCAAAGGAAAGTATGGACTATAACTTCATGTATGTATGCCTTCTGATGAAATGCAAAATGCTACCCTTTATTGTCATTAATTATAAAGAACATTATGAACATTGAGGTGTGCCATATTTACAGTTTTGCTGTCCTAAAATGGGTCTGTTTTCTTTTTTTACATTCTATTTGGCTGAAAATTGAAATTCATTTGGTTAGTTGTTTTCTTAAATATAGAAATAACATAAAATTACATAATATATAAAGACAGATGGATTTCATCATTAGCTTTCAGAGAGAGCATACCATCTGTTCCAAGTTTCTCAAATGCTTTTTTTTTGCTTTGTTTTGTTTTTTGCTTCCCATCCTTACCATGTCCCAAGGAAGAAGGCGAAATGTGAACTGCCTGAAGAACACAGTCATCTGGTATGAAGATCACAGGAATCGCTGCCCTTATGAGCCTCATCTCTCTGAGCTGGATCCCAACTTTGGGATGTACACCACAGCTGTGTGGCAATGTGAAGCAGGGCACCGCTATTTCCAGGACTTACACTCCCCACTTAAACCACTCAGTGATTCTGAAAATGAATGTGACAGTGGTAAGAGTGGATGTTAAAACTCCAACCTGACTTTTTTTTTTTTTTTTGCAGTTAATATGTAGCAAATATTTCTATGTAGCTTTCGCAAATCATATAGCTAGCTACTTTCTGAATTATTCTTTAATGCAGCTGAGCTTGGAAATCAGACAAGGTGGGATAACTTTGGAAATGTGTGAACACATTTACTTTAGGGCAGTTGGAGATGTCCCAACAGAACATTAATTAAAAGAAATTCATTTCTGAAATAAATAACATCATGGATAGTCCAGAATTCCTAAAGTTTATTAGCATATGTTAGTTTTCAGTTATTTTCCTTTCAGATTGAATATTGTAAGGTAAGATATCTTTAAATATTTATATTAAAATTATGTAATATTGCACCATTTTAACCAGTGTTTTTTCATAATTTTCCCCAGATCTGTCATTTCTGATAGTTTGTGACAAATAATATATGTTATTTTAAAAAAGATTTAAATGATTTTTAAATGCCACATTAGAACATTTCCTAGCACATTAGAACATTTCCTAGTGCCAACCAGAAAATAATTTTCCAGACTTGATATTTACAATCACTGATTATATAGCATGCTGTTTTTCCAACAAGTATTCTTGGCTAGTTGATTTGTCTGTCTGATACTACGTACTATAGACTGCAGAATACCATTCAGAAAATACTGTTGTTTATGTTCATTTATATAGAGGTTGAGGAAGTACAATGGAGAGAGAACAATAAATAACTCTTAATCTCTTCTCAGTAAAATCTGTTTTGGATATGCTTATTCTCTGCACAATGGTGGAAGACAGAAGGCAACAATATGCACTTTTGGCCTTATTAACTGATCTAAAATTCTTAAATGATTGTGAAGAGGAGGCCTTTTTAAATGGAGGCAAATAGAGCAATCATTCAGCAGGTGTTTAGATATCCTAATTTATCTATTTTGAATAGTGTAGAAACCTGGATAAAGCTAGGAATGATAAGGAGGTTAAGTATCTGGCTGTAAGGTTTGTCTGTGTTCCTAAGAAATTATCTACTAATTTTCTGATCCTTGTTGAAATTTGTAGTTGCCAATGGCACTGAAGCTGGAAGCTCTGAGTCTTCAGAAGAGAACTCTAGCTCTGAGACAGAGGAACAGCTCGAGAATCAGAAAGACAAACCCCAGGTTCGACAACCCTCAGCAAATACAGAAGGAGAAAATACCAGTGGCCTCATCACACAAGATGGCATTCATATTCCATTTGAGAACTTACGAGAAGAACAGGGTGCTAGCATGTGCCACAATCCATCCCTCAATGGACCAGAGACAATGGAAGCTGTGGTATGCATGCCAGTGCCCATGCAGATGGGTTCAGGTCACGGAACACTGTTTGAAAACGTTTCACAAGAGACACTTGGAGAAGTAGTAGCTAGCTGCCCTGTGCAAGATATGATGCAAGGTTCACAGGTGATCATCATTACTGGACCTGGTTATGATTCTCTCACAGCAGAGGGAATCCAGCTGAATGTCACCAGCACAGGAGAAGAGTTGCCTTGTGCTATGATTGAGGATGTAGCACCTTATACTCAAGAAGAGCCTGAGAATGGAGAGCAAAGTAGCACGGAAAATATGGAATACATCAAAACCAAAAAAGGTAGTTTCTACCATCCACCTTGGCTGCCTATTCTCAAATGACCAGGTATCTAGCTTTAAAATGTGTAGGTTTAATTCACTGTTGTAAGTATAAGAGCAGCATTTTTGCTATAGAGCAGGGGTCCCCAACCTGTGGGCCACGGCCCACTACTGCACCATAGGCTAAATGCCAGTGGGCCTTGTGAGTGGCCGGCCAATGCGTGCACCTCTGCAGGCATGCAAAGTTCCACTTAGGCGAGCCTCATCGCAGATGTCGCGGCCAACTTGCACAAACCTCATCATGGGCTCTCATGGCCCCACTTGCAAAAACATCGCATGCACGCATGCACTTGCCTCTCCCACAAAATCTCCCCCCCCCCCCCCCCCCCCCCCCAAAAACCCCCCCCCCCCCCCCGGCCAACCCAGAAAAGTTGGAGAACTCTGCTATAGAGGAAGGAATGCAGGAGCCTCCAGCTCTGCTTTAAAATTCAGAAGGGGTAGGAGGAATCCCAGTCTACAAATTGTTGCATGCAAATTTACCTGCAACATCTGTGAAGAAGTTGCATTCCTCTGAGGGACTAAGACACAGATCTGTTCTATACTTTTTCACTCATCTTGCAATAACTCATTTTGTGATTCTTTTTGTGTGTCATGCCACAACAGTTGAACTACAAATAATATCAGCAATTGCTTATAAAGTCTGTAATAGAGAAAATCAAGAATTGGAGGGTTTGCCTCTATTTAATATTGTTACAAGGATAATGTTAATTTTAAAATATTTGATATCTTCATATTTGGGACATGAAAATGTATATTTTGAGTGTGTGTGCATATTTTTAATCTCAATATTTATGGGTTTTTCATTTTTTGATAGCACTTGTTAGTTTTATGTGCAAATCTGGCTTTATATGAAAGTCATGTAAAGAAATGATGCAAACTTCTTTTTGGAGTGATGTATGTTCGACATTGCCTTCTGTTTCTTTCCATGGAGGCTTTCTGGTTTATCTTCAATAAGCTGCTTATTTAGTTTGCCGTTTCTCCCCCAATCACTTGCACAATATTTTAGGAAAGAATACATTTCAAAAGTGATTGATTTTTCGCAAATATCCTTTTATAACTTGAGATAGAGAATGTCAGCATTTAGAATTACAATTTTGCTTTCTGATTGATGGCAGAAAAAAAGGCATTCTTTAAACTCAAAAAAGAAGGGCATCCTCCTCCAACAGAAATAGAAACATCCTGTGACTCAAAACCAGCCCATGAGAGCAGAGGGCAGGAACCAAAGCCTGAACCTGAGGAGGAGATGGAAGGAAACAACATGTCATCCATTATTTATGAGATTCCAAAGGAGCCTGAAAAGTGAGTGAACAGCAGAAAGAGATGCGGCCATCTAGATCTCTATATTTAGGGAAGCAATTGGGTGCTACTCCTTGGAACAATAGGAAATGTTTATTATGTGTTTTATAGAGTAATTTGTCCAACTTTTGAAGATTCTGGTTATTTTTCCGCAATTGCTACCAAGTGGTAAACATCAATACCCCTGATCAGTTGCACCTGTAAAAGGGACCAAGGGGAAATACAGAAAATTATACAACCATTCAGATTAATGTTTATGGCAGACGTATTGTAGTAATAGTAATCTATGCAAAAGTAGATAGGCTTGTGGAGGAGCAAATATTGCTGAAGATGAATCAGCATGGTTCTGCAAATCTAGATTTTCTGTTGGGCGCCTCCCCCCGGCTGCTCAGTGTAAGAAAAAATACTGGAATAATTGGGTCTTAGCCTGGTCCAGCATGGTATTTGTGATAATCTAAACCAGAGAAATGTAATTAATTTTTGTTGGATCAAAGTTCAGTAACTGTTAAGTGGTTAACAAAACATTTGGCAGAATTTAGTGCTAGTTTCTGGAAGTATCTTAGACTTTCAGAAATGAGTGTCTCAGGTTTTTTTCCCCAGTCTTCTCTGCAGCCCTTAAACTGGTATTCTTAAGATTCTCTATAATTTCTGTTTATTGTGATGCAATGGTGAAGCTTTTTTTTTTAGTCTTTGGTTTTTTTTTCATAAAGCACAATACAATAGTTTTGTGACATTGAAGTAGATTTATGGATAATGTATAGCAGTTTTCCTTTGAATAATTTTTCTTCTCCTCTTAGGAGGCGACGGAGCAAAAGAGGTCATGTCATAGATGCAGATGGCATGTTGGAGATGTTCCACTGTCCTTATGAAGGATGCACCCAAGTCTATGTAGCACTTAGTAGCTTCCAGGTATAGTTCCTTTGACCTGATAGATTGATTAAATTTATGGTGCTAGAGTAAAAGAACTATTGGTCTTAATTTGACACTAAATTATATTCTATGCAGGGGAGTCAGGCAAAATATCAGAATTAATAGAGCTACTTTTTTTGTAGTGGATCTAATAACCTTTGGTATGTTCAAGCAGAATTTAGACAGCCTTCTGCTAGGGATTCTTTAATTTGGATTCCTGCATAGAACATTGGGTTAGACTCCAGGGTCTAAATGGTCTAATTAAACCCTAAGATAACTTTTCATGCAACCAAGGCATATTATATATAATTTTGTCCATGTTTGTCTTTTAAAGTCAAATATGTTGAAGGACAGGTAGTAACGTACTCCAATTACTATAGATTTGTGTGCTTGTGAAGAAGTATAATTTTCTGGTTTGTACAATAAAGCAAGGGTTCCGAACCCCTAGTACGTGGACCGCCACCGGGCCACAGCATGTCAGAAACTGGTCCGTGAAAACAAGCGAAGCCCTGTCTGTGGGATGCAGGCAAAACCTCTCTCCACAGAACTGGTTCCTGGTACCCAAAAGGTTGGGAGCCGTTGCTGTAGAGGAACAATATTGATCTCATTTCTTTCTATCCTCAGAATCATGTTAATCTTGTTCATCGGAAAGGAAAAACAAAAGTGTGCTCACACCCAGGTTGTGGCAAAAAGTTTTACCTGTCTAATCATCTCCGAAGGCACATGATAATCCATTCAGGTATATTGTCACCTCTAAGTTTTGCTATTTATGATACGTCTTCATCACCTCGGAGGCTCCATGTTTTCCCAAAAATAAGACCCAGCCTGATTTTTAAGCATGTGCCTAATATAAGTCCTATTCCCAAAATAAGCCCTAGTGAAGATTGTCATTAGCATGGGGGTAGGGAATGGGCGTGGTCAGCACTGGAGGCTGTGAGGGTGCGGGGGCCGACATAGCCTGCGCAGTGCAGGTGAGTTGATTACTTGTACAAGCAGCAGGCGGGGGTGGGGAGGCAGGCAATTCAGACGGGCTGTGGGAAAGATGAGAGTCGGTGGGCCAGAGCAGACGGCTGGCCATGGGAGGTTGTCTTCGCGTGGCAGTTGAAGGCAGAGGTTGGGGGAAGGCAGGCGATCTGGACGGGCTGTGGGAAACCAAGAGTCATTGGGTCAGAGCAGACGGGCGGCCTCAGGAAGCTTGTCTTTGCACAGCAGTCGGAGGCAGAGGCATGGGGTGTGGGGAAGGCAGGTGGTCTCTATGCTCTTTATGGGCTGCTGGCAAGCTGAGAGGTGTAGAGATGAGCCTCCTGCAGCCGGCCACCCACTCTGGCCCATTGCCTCTCAGTTTGCCTGTGTGGCATGTCTGGATTGCGTGCCTTCCCCTCACATCTCTGCCTCCATCTGCTGCTTAGACAGGTAATCAACTCACCTGCGCTACACACGCTGCGTAGCCCCAGGGGTCTGCAACCTTAAGCACTCAGAGCCATTTGGACCCATTTCCCACAAAACAAAACCGTTTTCAAGATTCTCTCAATTCAGTGTAGAAAAGGAAATTTCATTACCATCCGTTCTGTTCCCTTTGTATTTTTATTGATTCCTAGAAGTTGTGTAGAACCAAACTATTCTGACTTTTCTTTTGGGTACAAGTCGGTAAAAAGTCATGAAACATTATTTCTATAGAGGACAACTGTAGCAAGACTATGTGCTCAAAAAATGGAAAGGCTAGCTCTACTCTCAGTGAAGGAATAGTTGGTAAAGATGATCAAATTTTCTGAGATGGTTAAATTAATTTCTCTGACTTGAGAAAAAAACTCTACATTTATGGTTGACTGGAAATCCTCTATAGATTTTTTGCACAAAACAAAATGCATTTTTGATAGTGGTTTTGCAATTAGAAAAAAAACCTGGATAATAGAAAAGAGTGGAGTTTTTTTTATAATAATAGTATTGTATTAATTTCATCTTTGATTCGGGATGGGTTGGCAGTCCTGGAGCTGGTGCCAAATTTGGGGGTCCTCCTAGACTTGTGGTTCCAGCTTGAGGAGCAGGTGGCAGCCATGGCCTTTGCACAAATTCATCTGGTGTGCTGATTGTGGCCTTTCCTGGACTGGGAGGTCCTTTGGTCATTCATGCCCTGGTCACTGTTTGGATTACTGCAGTGTGGATTATATGGGGCTGCTTTTGAAGACCACCTGGAAGCAACAACAATTCCAGAATGAGGTGTTGCACTCGGCGAAGGGTGTTCCTAGGTTTGCCCTGGGTGCAATTCAGGGTGCTAATTAACATCTTTAAAAGCCTCTCTGTCACAGGGCCATATATAATCTTTATTACTGATGTTGTTTTAAACCTTGATTGGGAGCCACTCAGAAATTGGTATAAGGTGGGCAGTTACATAAAATGTTTTAGATAAATAAATCATAGTAACAGATTATTCTTTCTATTTGCTCTTTTACTTTTTTCTCCTTTCTATTGTGCTTTTGCTCTATTAATTTGTGTTAATTTTTATGCTCTATGAAACTTTTAATAAAAAGCTTATTAAATCTAGTTTTCTTTGAATATTGAATTTATGGACCAATGGGATTGGAACTCTCTTTTTATTATTTTTATCTAAGTTTAAAGCAATATTATATTCCTTTAAGTGGTGCATGGTGTCTTAAGGTTTAATTTGATTAAATTAATGGCAGTGCTGCTCATTCAAGCAAGTTATTTCGGGAGATGTCTCTAGATCTAATCTATTTTCTTTGGGACAGAGAATGTCCCTATGTTAGCTATTGATGGGTTTTGCTGTTCATTTTTTTTATTCCTGTATCTTCCCAGGAGTCCGTGAATTTACCTGTGAAACTTGTGGAAAATCCTTCAAGCGGAAGAACCATCTGGAAGTTCATCGTCGAACACATACTGGAGAGACCCCTCTCCAGTGAGTGACCTGGGGCATGACAAGAAAGACTGGGCTGAGCCACCCTCCAACATGAGAGCAACAGGGCGAGGTCTTTGGAGCCTGCTTGCTTTGCCTTCTTTGTGCAAGTTGGCCAGGACTCAATCTGGCTGATCATATCTAACCATTTTTTAAAAAAAGTTTTGTAATTATGCAATTATTAATTTCAATTGTACTAAGAAAAGCTACTTTCAGTACTTGATAGGAAAAGTAGATTAATTGAAATACATACTCTGCTTGATTATGGTAGTAGATGCTGAATAGTTTGTTGGTAGTGATTGGGGCTGTGGATGCTTTCCTGGTTTCTAGATTGGAGTATAAAGGAATGACGACTCTTTCTCTCCACAGGTGTGAGATTTGTGGCTATCAATGCCGTCAGAGGTCTTCTCTCAACTGGCATATGAAGAAGCATACTTCAGAAGTCCAATACAACTTTACTTGCGAGTACTGTGACAAACGGTTTGAGAAGCTGGACAGTGTCAAGTTCCACAAACTAAAGAGCCACCCAGACCATAAGGCTGCCTGACCCTGATCATGAGTCACTTTAATTATTGTTCCTCCAAATAACTAAACCAGTTGAGGGCGTATCTTACATAGTCACAGCTGAAAACATGGTATGTGCTACCCACAGCACAAGGGCCTATTCTTCTGGTTAGGATGATACGGAGTAGTTTTTTTAAGACCGGATGATGACTGACAAAAACTTTTAAGTTTGATATGCAAGTGTGCTCAGGGTGTCGGACAGCATAAAGTTAAAACATCTTATGACTGGAGATTATGGTGTTAAACTGACCTGTTTTTCAAGGGGAAAAAACAACGGAAGTAATGTCAAGAATGATTTTATCCAATTAAAGTATCGGTACTTTGCTATCCACTGGCAGCACCTTCTACATTTTAGCCACCTGATACTTGATCTGAAGGAGGAGTGCAGTATGAAAGGTCTAGTTGCATATCATTTAACTATGGAGAGACTACTTCCAATGTATAGTTGCAGGTTAGTTCAAGTGAATGTTTTATATCTATTGACAACAGTGAAAGAAAATTATTGGTTGATATGCATTAATTCAATTTCCTTGAAATAGTTGGTTGAACATTGTCATAAGCCTAAGCATGGTTCTGTTTCAGGAACTATTTTCCCTTTTAACACTCAGGGCTATTGCATTTGAAGACAATCCAGAGTTGGCATTTATCCCTGTTTTCTTGATATATTGGTGTTTTATAAAGCACAGATTCCTATACTGGGTAGACTTGGATTCCAGCTGTAAGTTACTTTATTATTCTGGTTATCTGTGGCCATCCTCTATAGTATGCTATATTCATAATCTTGTTTGCAAATAAGAAATTTCTAAAATTTAATGCCATCAGCGTATTTTTATTATACTATTAAAAAAACATGGCTTTTGTCTTTAAAATGCCATTCAATCCTTAGGTCTAAGTTAAAAAAATATTAAATGTGAAAATTGATGGAGATTTTTTTTCTATAGCTGAAATTGACATGGCTCTGTGAGAACACTCATAACTAGGTGTGTGTCATTTCTTCACCACTACCACCACTCCTAAAAAATCATCTTTTTGAAGAACCTGTTTATATGGAATTGTCAGCAGACAAAATAGCTTAGTTGGGTCAGAATTTTGTGGGGCCCCTCCATTCTGGGATGGAGGAGTAGGAAGAGCTCCTTTATGTTAGTTTAGATAGTTCTACTTTTAGAGATTATTTTGTGTGGCTGTTCTTGCCATGTTCCTCAAAGATGTATAAGCCATTGGTGAACTGAATTTAAAACTTGCCAAACTTTTGCTTCCTGTTTTCTGAACTTACAGGTGCTAAAATGGACGGACCTTCCAGATACTGCATTCCAGCTCCCCATTATGTCTTAGTAACCATTGTTGCTCTTGGTGAAGGATCAAGGCAATGTGGAGGCAGCTCCAGATATTTCTTATCATTTTGAGAGAGAAGCTGGCTAAATGAAATTAGCTTGTCGTCTTGCACATTTTTTTCCTTAGCCCAGGCAAGGATCACCCTAAAATCCAAATAGAACCAGATCAGAGTGGAAAGGCAAGTCTGGAGAGATTCTTAAAGAAGCACAATAGTGTGTTCACAGACAAATCAAGGACCAAAGAATGATGAGCTCACTGTGCTTCTGAAGAGGCCAGCCACAGCTGCTGGTGAAACATCAGGTCAGCAGAAAACTAGATCACAGCCATTCAGCCTGAAAGTTCATCACTCCTTGATTAATGCTAGCTGTGAAAGCCTATCACCAGTAAAATGGGGGTCATTATTTTTATTGAATACATGATCAGCATTGGAATACCCAGTAGGAAAAAGAATTATATCCTTGAACAGATGAGAAGCACCCTGGAGAAAGGAGACTCAATACACAATGGAATTTGGTGATTTTGAACCCTCTGTCAAGGTTCCAACTGATGAGCCCAACCAAGCCAGCAAGTCAAGACAATCAGATCTCTTTAAGCATAACTTCATTGAGTACATCATTTCGGCACGCATGAAGCAAACCCAGCTCTAGCTAGTTCCCAGTTTTTGGCTAATTAAAGAATGAATTCTTTCCTTCCCACCTTTGACCAGGTCACATTGTCCAGTTAATTGTTTTGGTCTCTATGGCCACTCCTTCAAGCTACTGCAAAACGTCTGTTGAGATTACCTTGGTTTCCATGGGATGATTTGTTTGGGCTAACATTCCAAACCCCCCCCCCCCCCCCCCAATAGTCTGTGGCAAACTCTGAAATGAAAAGACAGCAACAGCAGGGCACACTTTGAAGTTGACAGTCAGACCCCCTAGAAAGTCAGCACCTCGAAAATAAGCACACAGTTATTTCAGGGGTTCCTTGGCTTCTGGGGATATTTCTCGTGAAATTTCTGTACTGATCTATCTACTCTCATGTTCTGTGCTTTTATCCATTGGATTCTGAAATTGGGTACCTGGACTAGGTATTGGAGTTTTCCCTTGTATAGTCTGGAAGCCAGAATCTGTTTAACCTTGTAATGTTTCTCCCAATGGCACTCTCCCTTCTCCCCACTATGATCAGGCCTGGGGTAATCTTAGCCACTGATCTTGGTTCAGACCCACCATTGGCTTAAACAAACTGCAGTGGAACAAATAGGTGAGATAGTTTTAACTGTATTGTGACTGGACCCTTTTTGCAAGGAAATTTGAACTTGTAGACATATACTTTCTCTCCTATGTGGAATGGTTTCTGGGGCAACTGCTTCTTGTCTGCCTGAACTTTCTGATTTTGGGTCGCTTTAGTTAGTGCTTGCTTTACATTTCCCCAGGCATTTTGGAAGGAACCCACCCACTCAGTCGAGCTTAGTGGGAAAGGAGGCTCCCTAGGGTACTCTAGCATAGGCACAAAATCCACCCCGTAGCTACTTTAAAAGGGGTGAGTCCCGTACTGCTATGCACTATGTTATTGTAGGCAACCTCAGCAAATGGCAGGTCTGCCCAGTTAGATTGCTGATAGTTGACATAGCAACACAGGTTTTGTTTTATGGTGTTCACTGGTTCTGTACTTGGTCCTGTTTGTGTTTGGATGAAATGCCAAGCTAAGCCTTTGGAAGGATCGTATCATTTTTATTCCCTCCAGAACTTAACAATGAATTGGAACACCCCCCCCCCCCACTCCGAGATGATTCACTTTAGCAGCCCATGCAATCGGTAGATATGTTGAAGAAACATTTTAGCCAGTCTCTGGGTGGATGGGGGGCTTGAGCAGGTGATGAAGTAAGCTTGCTTGGAAAATAAGTCTATTACTGTCCAAATCACAGTATTTCCCCCACTCTCTAGGAGTTTGACTATGAAATCCATTGTGATCTCAACCCAGGGCCAGGTTGGCTCCACCACTTGTTGCAGCAAGTCTGGGCTCTTCCCTGGTCTTTTTTTTTCACTGCCACACACACTGTGCAACTTTTCACGTAGCTGTGTCTTTCTTCATCCCTGACCACCAGAACTGTCTCTTAACCAAATGCAAAATCTTTAAGAACCTGAAGTGGCCAGCTTGCTTGGTGTCCTGGCTCCGTTGCAGGACTTGGACTTGTAGGCTTTTGGGAACATACAGCTTGTATCCCTTCCATGCCAGCTCTTCTCTCGATGTTAGTTTATTCCCATGGACTCCAAACCAGTTATCCTACTGTAACTCCTTTTTCATCTATTGAGTCAGCTCACTGCTGGGGTCTGGCAACTTCGTTGCCTGTTGCCTTGTGGTTGCTTATGCTACCCGCTACTTTGGGGAGATGATTGAATTTACAACTTCTCAGTTTACTTTTGTACTGTGGCATGCAGGATAGCTCATTGGCTAGAAAGTTTTTCTCTGGGACGTACTTCAAAGTCAAATAAATTAAAGTTCTGTGCCTATCAGATTTGCTTTGGGGAGAGCTTTCAGAGGGTTTTCAGCATTTTTATGGTCAGTCGACACCTCAAAAGGCACTTCCTTCAAGGAATTGCCACCAAGTTAGTAATGCCCATCTCACAGTGAAAGCTTCCTTCCACACTGCCCAGCACCTCTCACTCTTGGTGAGTTTTCAGGAGGTGTAAGTGCACGGCTGCAGCTTTCCCTCTTTTTCTGAAGGAGCACTGCCGCCACAGCCACATTGCTGGCATCAGCTTGGATGACAAAAGGCTGCTGGGAGTTTTAGGATGGGTTCCTCTGCAAACAGTCTTCACTTCCTCAAAAGCTGCTTGGCACTCCATCATCCAGTTTAGCGGCTGACTGTCGGGGCTTTCCTCCCCTTCCCGTTTTTAACAGCGCTGTGATCAGCAGGGCAATCTTTGCGAAGAAGGGGAACAATTGCCTGTAAAAGTTTGCAAACCCTAGGAAGCTCTAGCTGCTTATGGGTTCAGGGGGCTGGTTGGACCACGGCCTTGGCCAATGGCTCCATCCTCCACACTGGTTCTGCTCTGCACACTTGCAGGTAGAGAAACGTCTCCCTCAGCTGCTCCACTGATGAGCTGCAGCAGGCAGTCTGGTATCTCCACTCCCTGGGCTCGTCCCATTCCACTGCTCTCCTCGCTCTCCACTTCAGTGCTTGGGCAAATGAAGTCAGAGGGGAAATCAATGGGAACTCAGCCTCAATTGCTTTCAGTACTCTCCTCTGCCAGACCTCCTCTTCTGCCTGGTGGAGGTCCCAGTTGCCATGGCTTCTTGCACTGCCCGTCACTTGGCCTCCTCTGGTTTGGCTTTTGGGCGGGCTGCCATTGCCTGGCCTCCGAAATCACCGGGCCTTTCCCAGGACCTCCATCACTCCGGGCTTTGCCACTGGCTCTCCTTTGTGCTCCACCTAAGTGCTCTTCCCCAAGTCTTTGCAGTCCTCCTGAAGGAGACTGAGTAGGATGCCGGGGCTCAGGACCCCAAAGAGGTTACTTGATAGTTAAAAGTTCAAGAATGAGAGTTGGTTTAATGTCAAGGTTCCAACTGACAAACCCAACCAATACAGCAAGTTGCAACGATCAGATCTCTTTAAGCATAACTTCATTGAGTACATTTCGGCACACATGAAGCAAAATCAACACTACTGTAGTTCCCACTGTTTTCACCTAATTAAAAATGAATTCTTTCCTCCCCTTTGACCAGGTCACATTGTCCAATGAGGTGTTCTGGTGTCTATGGCAACTATTGCCAAACATCTCTTGAGATGACCTTGGTTCCCACAGGATGATTTCTTCTTGTCATCTGGGCTAGCATTCCAAACCTCTGCGCCCCCGTTTCCCCCCCCCCCCCCACAAATAGTCTGGCAAACTGAAACAAAAAGATGGCTGTGACAGCAGGGCACATTTTGAAGTTGACACTCTCAAAGAGTGGAATATTTTCTTGATGCCAAAAGCTAAGGGGGAAGTTAGATTTTGTGGACCTAAGTAAGTAAAATCATGTCATGAAATTTGACAGTTATCCTGTGTCCATAGTTGATTTGCTATGTAAGTTAAACAGATATAGGTATTTTTCAACCCTTGATTTAATGCACTGTAATTGGCAAGTCCCTTTGGATGCTATAATGCTGAAGAAAGTATTTTATTTTGTGAAGATGCCACTTGATCTACAGGGTTTCCCAACTAGCAATTTCCAGGTATATGGACTTCAACTCCCAGAATTCCACAGCTAGCATAGCCATTGCTGAGAATTCTGGGGTGTGAACACTCACATTCAGTTGGGAAATGTTGGTCTGCATGATGCCACTCCAACCGTCCAATGCTTGTGGGAACAGGTTATTGCATAATGAAGAAAGTTCTGTGAAGTGTGTATCTGGTTAATACTGTAATTTATAGTACTCTGTGCAGTAGTGCACTCCCAAGGTTGGTGTGCCCATGAACCTAGCAAAATGTGATATGGGTTATACAGAAATGAGGTACCTATGAAATGTTTTAAGCTATCAGGAGGATAAACTGGAGGGGAAGAAAAGTGGCCCCACACCTCAAGAAAGAGGGTAGGTTGTTTTGGAAGTCTTGGAGGATACTATAAGCATTTTATGTCCTATTGGGTGCCTTGGACTTAACCGAGCAAAAAGAATTGAATTACATTTGCTGGACTTGGAGGTCTTCAGGGAACCTTATGCAGTCAATGTGTATTGAGGTGGCCAAATTTTGATTCCCCTTTTATAATATATAGGGATTTCAGATTTCAGATTGGAGATAGCCATTAATTCACTTCATGAGGGTGAGGACCACCTGATATTATACCCCACCCCTTTTTTTAAAAAATTACACTTTTAATGAGAGCAAATGGTGTCAAGGGGGACATGATTAGGCCCTAAAGTGGGCTTAGCTTCAGAATCAACATATGGGCATACATTTCACAGTCCTCATCCCCACCAGCCCTGGGAAAGATGGGGGATACCAATTGATTCTGTACTAAACATTGGAACCCCTTTATTCTAAAGGACTGGGAGAGAGTTTAATGGTAGGTTTTGATAAGGAAGGTCTTAAGAGTAGCTGTGCCTGAGGCCAATTTTGAAGTCTTGCCACCAGGAAAGAATTGCTGCTTTCTGTAGGCTACTGTTGAGCAATTATTGTATCTGCAGTGAGAGCCCTCTTGTCAGATTCAGCATTTGGTGTATCTTATATTTTGTGTAGCTGAAAAACCACCTACAATACTTTACATATCGCCAGTAAAAGCAATATTGTAGTTATTGCCTATTGCCCCAATTAAATAGTTTCATCCTATAAGCTTCATCTTATTTGTTTTCTAGCCTCTTCTTAGTTAGGAAGGGGGTTAATAATCCACATCATTTCTGTACCCTTTATTTTAAAAGCACCGTGGTGCCTCTTGCACTTCCTGAAAATAGTGCTAAATAAATAATTCACTACCTGACAAGGCTGTATTAATAATGCAGACTTAGGAAACAGTTCTCAACACCAAGGACATCTCAGAAGCTCCTCTCCTTTGGCTGCAGCCTGGATTTTCTCCCTTTGCAATTGCAAGCATTTTGTTCACTCTCTCAAAATGTCTTCCTCTTGTCACATGTATGAGAGGTTGCAGTCTGCCCATGCTTGAGAAGAAGATGGGCCGGTGTTTGAGCAAAGCTAATAAAAAGCCAAACACTCTACCATGAAGGAGTGGGTCTGGTAAGCTTGGTGAACAGCTGAATGATGCTTCTGCTGATGAGATTTTGTTGGCTTGAGAACAGAAGACACTTCGATCCTGTACTCTCTTGAAAAACAGGTTTTGTTGGCTGAAAACAGAAGACACTTCCATCCTGTACTCTCTTGAAACACAGAGGATCACATTCTGTAAAACTTAGTGTTAGAAGATCTGAGGATGCACTGATAAGCATGAGATCACTTTGGTCAACAAAGTAGACCACAACCTTCTTCTTGGGAAGCTAGAAAAAAGTGAGACAGACAGAATTACCTCCAGATGGACTCGCAACTGGCTGGCAAACCGTACTCAACGAGTAGTCCTTAATGGGTCTAAGTCTACATGGAGGGAAGTACCCAGTGGGGTGCCACAAGGTTCCGTCTTAGGCCCAGTACTCTTCAATATCTTCAGAAACGACTTAGATGAGGGAATAGAAGGGGAACTTAGCAAACTTGCAGATGATACTAAACTGGCAGGAATAGCTAACACCCTAGAACCGTGATGGTGAACCTATGGCACGTGTGCCGGAAATGGCACACAGAGCCATTTCTGCCGGCATGCAAGCCATTGCCCCGGATCAGGTCCACTGCGTATGCGCATACACCTGCCAGCCAGGTGATTGCCAGGTATCTGCAGCGCATGCATGCGGCACATGGGAGATGCATACGCATGCACAGAGGTGCAGGTGCGGGGCGTGCTTGGGTTGCATGCATGCGCAGGGGTTGGGTGGGCGCACACGCATTGCATTATGAGTGTAGGTGTGTGCTTTCGGCACACGACAAAAAGGTTAGCCATCCCTGCCCTAGAAGATAGGCTCAATATCCAGATGGATCTTGACAGACTAGAACACTGGGCCCTATCTAACGAAATGAAATTCAATGGAGAGAAAAGTAAAGTCCTACACTTAGGCAAGAAAAACCAAAAGTACACATATAGACTGAGTGAAACCAGGCTCAATAGCAGTAACTGTGAGAGGGATCTTGGAGTCTTAGTGGACAACCAGCTAAATATGAGCCAGCAGTGTGCAGCAGCAGCCAAAAAAGCTAATGCAATCCTAAATTGTATTAACAGAGGGATACAATCAAGATCAAGGGAAGCACTAATACCACTCTATAAAGCCTTAGTAAGACCACACCTAGAGTACTGCATCCAGTTTTGTTCACCACATTATAAAAAGGATGTTGAGATTCTAGAAAAAGTACAGAGAAGAGCAACCAGGATGATTAGGGGACTGGAGGCTAAAACATACGATGAACGGTTACAGGAACTGGGCTTGGCTAGTCTCGTGAAAGAGAAGGACCAGGGGAGACATGATAGCAGTCTTCCAATATTTGAGGGGCTACCATAGAGAGGAAGGGGCAAGCTATTTTCTAAGGTACCTGTAAGCCAGACAAGGAATAATGGATGGAAACTGAACAAGGAGAGATTTAACCTGGAAATAAGGAGATTTTCTGACAGAACAATCAACCAATGGAACAGCTTGTCCTCGGAAGTTGTGGGAGCTTCATCACTTGAGACTTTCAAGAAGAGATTAGACTGCCATTTGTCAGAATGGTGTAGGGTCTCCTACTTGGGTAGAAGGTTGGACTAGATGACCTACAAGGTGCCTTCCAACTCTATTAATCTATAAATAAAATCTTTTTGACGAAGCATTTTTAATCCACTTTTAAAAACTATTAACCTGTGAAAATTCGAGCAGCCACTTAC